TCCCAGTGACAGGGCCTACTGGTTGGCAGCTAGGCTCAAGCCTAGCAACCAACAGGTCCTGTCACATGACCGAGGGAATGACATCACTGCTCCCCATTGTTGACAACACTGCTGATTTTAGTGCCGGCTGTGAGGAAGCACAGGCAAGGCGAGTATGTGGGGGCATTGCAGAGACACTGCAAGGGCAACTTTAAATGTCTCTTCAACATATAAGTAATGGATCAACTTTACACACAAGAAATTGATGATTAAGCCACTAGGAATGGGCTTTACTTCTGCTGGTAAAGCCCATTCCTTCAACCCTGGCTGCAAATAATTTCCATTGCAGTAAAACACCTAGTGAGTCCATTCGCAGTTGGAAGTTACCTACATTCACTTTAAAGGAGAACTATGGGGTCAGTGTTTTTCCCCATAGTTCTCCTTAGGGTTAAGGGAGGACACAAACTAGCGTCCTCCCGTTACCCTAAGCTCAGTATACTGAGACGCCGCACCTGGAGCGGATCCCAACTTAGATGACGGGATCCGCCCAGCTGCGTGAATGACAGCTGGCTCTGCCTATCTAGAGGCAGAGCCAGCTGTACCCGCCCCCTGCCCCGTCCGTTGCGTCAGTCAGCGCTGGCAGATCGGACCAGGGAGAGGGGAATCCAGCCCCTCCCCCTGTCACGGCAGAGAGCCGTGACAGGATCGAGAGGTGAGCGAACCTGGTATGTGTTCGCTCACCTCCCGATCTACTGAGCCGACCTGTGACAGTCTCATTGTCACAGGTCGGCTAGAACTATGAGGTGAGTGGAAATCACTCATCTCATAGTTCTCCTTTAAAAAAGAAAAAGCAAATAACAGAAACTTTAAAAAAAGAAGTGAAACCAAACCTTTTTTTTTTTCTTTAGCTTTGCTTTTCTTCTGGGTCACAGCAATACATTTACCAATGAACTCTGGTGACCCTTATGTCCCTACCTGCTGACAGGGCAAAGCTGTACCCACAACCAAGAAGGATCCCAACAATATTGTCAGCATCCACTCGGCTGCCTAATTGACAGCTGGCTCTGCCTCTCTAGAGCCACTGCCAGCTATGCCCGCCCCCTCCTGTCTATCCATCCATCCAATGAGCACAGGAGGTAATGACTGACAGTCACCGCTCTCTGCAGAGAGGAGACCGAGAGCTGAGCAATCAGAGGTTACATGATGACTGAGCTCTGGGTATAGAACTGGCCTTTGTCAGCTGCAGTGCCCCACACAAGCTCTAAGCATTAGAGGATACTTTACTTCTCCTTTACTACAGGTGGAACCAGCTATGTTTATTCAGTAAACCTTGCAGCTCTGCAAAAGTTAAATGTCTATTTATTGAAAGTACATGTAAACCCTAATAAACGTCTCTTATTTGATTCCTTTTGAATACACCATTGAAATGTTTTGTTATATCTGTTTGATCAGTGCAAATGCCTCTTGACCTTTGACATTGCTATCTGGAGCAGTCCTACCTTACTGTGCAGGATACCTCTGTGGACTACAGAACACCTTTGTGCAAGTTATGCATATGAGGCGAGGGCAAGCCATTCTGTATTCCTAATAATTCCTGTCCTAGGGTGACAACGCTGCTTCTCCACAGATACAGTATAAGGAGTATGTGTTATCAACCTAAGACAGAAGTATGTTACTAGCAGGATCACCAGGTGAAAATACAGGGAAAAAAAAAAATCTTAGAAGAGTTTTCATACTTTAGGGTAGCTTTTCCCAACCTCTTCTCAGTCATGGCACCCTTTAAAAATATGCAAAATCTCAAGGCACTCCAGTCTAAAATATGAAGTGTAATAAATGATGTGTAGCCCATACAATTGGTTTTTAAGGAAGCCCTTAAAAATCCTTACTTCTTATGGATTTTAAAGGGGGAACCCCACTCAAAAATACAGGTTTCCCCTTTATATCAGAGCCCCCCTTCGTTTCAACCTGCCAACACCAAGGAAATGCATGACAAAAATTTGAAGGAACCCCATGGAGCCACACTGTTTGAGAAAAGCTGAAATCATCTGACATGGCCACTGGCATTATACTTCCTGAAGACTGTACTGTCTTTTGCTGTATGGCCAAAACACAGTTTAACTTACAATGCAGGCTTAAATCTAATTGGTGACTGTATGGGGCTGAGCTTCCTGTTTAGTACACCAGACAAAAGTATTTAGAAGTGACACTTAACTCAGGAGTTAATTCTTAAAAATGCATTTACTTCCCTCCCCTGTCCGATCCTCCATCTAGTATATGTCCTCCCGTGACCCTTAGGAGAACTAAGGGGAAAAACACTTACCCCATAGTTCTCCTTTAACTATTAACAGAAATGTATCTTATATGTGTATCACTCGGCTGTAGATCCTCAAATCATCTCTGAATTGGTGCTGACACTGTCCTACATTCTGGAGGGTGGCTACTTTTGTTCCCCATGGTCCCTGTGTGTGTTGTAAAGTAGTCACTGCTCCAAGCTCGCTCCTGTGATGGACTACAATCTCAATACAGATTAGTAAACTAAACATGAGATTGTAGCCCATCATTCGAGTGAGCTTGGAGCGGTGACTACTTTAAAACACACACAGGGACCATGGGGAACAAAAGTAGCCACCGTCCAGAATGAAGGACAGTGTCAACGCCAATTCAGAGTTGATTTGAGGATCTACAGCTGAGAGTGATAAATAAGATACATTTTTGTTAAAAATACATTCAAGTAACTAAAAAATGTTAAGGTTTAACTCCTGAGTTTAGTGTCACTTTGGATGGAGAAAAGTTTCAACCTAGAACCCTCAGGAGATATTTCCCGTCACTTCCTGTCCCTCTGACAATGATGTCACCAGGACAATCAGTAAGAGGAAATCCCTCCAGCAGGAACACAACACCTCTTTAGGAGGAATGGGGGAAGGCTAGAACTTCCAGCAGCTTTTAATTGCCTCTTGAAGATTTCCTCTCTCTTCTTGCAGTGACAATGTTGTCACCAGGAGGGGACATTTCTCTCCAAAAGGGTACAGCATAAACCTGACAGAGGATCTTTTAACATATAGAAATACCAGCTTCCCTAGTGTTCTACTTTAAAAACAAAAAGAAAAATGAGATAGAGCTGGTCTCCATAAAGCATTTATATCATACGTTATTAAAGGGCTTTATACTGTAACAAATCTGCAAACTTGTTTAAAACTAAAAACACAGTACCTGTATTCCCTGAGTGTATGTCATTCCAGTGCATGCAATGCAGGAAAACCTAAGTCACACACAGAACAGACCCTTTATATTTTATAAAACGGTTAACATTGTCTTCAGCGATGCAATCAATCAGTCAGCTGGCAGTATTGCATGTCGCCCTATACTAGTCTGCCAATGTGTCATGAGAACATACCACATCACCCCGCCCCAATAAAAGAAAAACACTTCATGTTAGGTCACAATGAATTGTATTCAACATAGTTTAAAACATAAGAGACAGGCTTGTGCCAGCATGTCCGAGAAAATCAAATTACACGTATTAAATGGTCTTGTGGTACATCACATTGTCATTTGAAGATCTCTCGACTGCTCTGCAATGCTAAAACCACTGCCTGCAACGTGACAAAGGAAAAAAAAACAAAAAACTAAAAGCGTTCTAAAAGAAGATCCGCACCCTTTCTGCGTTGGTGTGTGCGTTCAGTATGGCACAGAAATGGTTAACCAACTCCTAACCCACCCCCCACCCCCCTTATAAAAATGTGCAAGACATGGAAACTACATTTACAGGCTCAGAAATGGGTTCCAGGGACAATAGATCCTTTTGTCCACAATTGTTCAGTATGATTACTGAGAGGAAACTGTTAAGTAGTTTGCAGAATAAGAGAGAATGGGATTTTGTGGAGATTTTCACAGGTTGGCACCGGCTGGAACAGCTGAATTTCGAAGGCACTCTAAAGGACATTGGGTGCTGGTGACCCTGGTACGCAGAAGTCATTTCACTGTATCTTAAATCTGAGCTGGGCATCAAAAAATATCAGTTAAAACCGCCAGCTCACAGGACAAAAGAAAGAAAAAAATATGTAACATTTTTCACAGCTGATAAAAAAATACTAACAGTCTTCCCCGATTCCCATTTTATACAGCAGGTAAACAAAATAGATTTCCCCTCTCACACACACATCAGCAGCAAGTGTGCCAACGCTGACAAGCCCCCCACTGCGTTGGCATCATCTGTTTCAGTTGAAGATGTGCAATATTTATAAATGGATACTTTGTAACAATAATCCAACTTTGCATAGAAAATTAGAGTCATCGGCTAAAAACAGTCTAGGGTGACTCCAATCTATACTTCTGATGGGAGGGTGACTCCTGGTGCCACCTTCTTGTGTAGATTCCAGACAAGTCCCTCCAGAGAGCTTCCGCAGACCCTGATGCCCGTGTGTTTAGCAGGAAAGCCGCTTGTGTATCAGGGGCGCACTTACATATCTGCAGACCGTGCAACTGCACAGGGGCCCATTTATACAAGACGTGAAACAGAACTTGCCTTGGGACACCTCCCGTCCTCACCGAGACCTGGACACTGCTCACTTCTACTTGTCAATCAGCACACAGTGGAGAAGTGTTCGTATTTAGCCAGTAGTTGAACAGGGGGCCCAAAAAGTGATCTTGCAGGGCCCCCATTTATACTAAGGCGTTGGCAGCTGTCCTGTTGTCACATAGACCTGGCTTTCTTATACCTGCCCATCCGTGCACAGCGAAGGTTTTTCTTTAGCCAGTAGTTAAATGGGGGGCCCAAAAACTGATCTCACAGGGCCCATTTCCACTAGACAAAACTGGCATTGGGTCCCCTCCTGCTGGACATTGATCACTTCTGTTGATCCGCGTGCAGTAAATAAAGAGTTGAACTGGGAGGGGGGCCCAAAATCCGATCTGGCACAGGGGGCCCCCGATGTCAGCACAACACACCCCGTGGTCTCCGGATGCAAAGTTGGTTGCCATCATGTTACAAGTAAACCCAAAAAGAAGAAATCACATAGTGCATTGTATAGAGGAGCAATGGGGGGGGGGAGAGCTCATAGGATGACACATGAGGAGCAGCACTGGTCGTCTCCATTGGGTTGGGAAGCATAGTTCATCTGCCTGACAATCTCAGCGAACAGCTCGTCCACAGAGCCTTTGTTTTTGGCAGAAGTTTCCAGGAAGGGACAGTTCCAGTCATCGGCCAGGGCTTTCCCTTCCCCGCAGGACACTTCCCTTTCCCCTTCCAAGTCCACCTTGTTGCCCACCAGGATCATGGGCACCTTCTCGTATCTCTTGACCCTGATGATCTGATCCCTCATGGGTTTGATGTCCTGGAAGCTCTGCTGGTTGACCAAGCTGTAGACCAGGATGAAGCCCTGGCCGTTCTTAATGTACAGATCTCTCATGGAAGCGAACTGCTCGGTGCCCGCCGTGTCCAGGATCTCCAGCACCGACGGCGACGAGTCCACCTCGATCTCCTTCCGGTAGAAGTCCTCTATGGTGGGGTCATACTTCTCGATGAACGAGCCGGTCACGAACTGGACGGTGAGCGCCGATTTGCCCACCCCGCCGGAGCCCAGCACAACTACTTTGTATTCTCTCATGGCTTCTCCCCACCCCCCTCACACACACACGGCTGGTGGTGGGAGAGAGGACCAGGCAGCGCTCAGTCGGCGGGGAATCACTTCATCGGCTCCAGGGGAAGGGGGTCAAAGGTGGTGCGGCCGCGGCTCTGGTAGGTGCCTGCGCTCACCTAGCACACTGTGGCAGTATATCCTTGCCGCTCTCCGGCTCTGCCCGTCTCTCCATTCCTCTCTACAGGCGAGCGCCTCTAGTTATCTTGAATCACGCTTGCATTTTGCAACCTCTCGCCTGCGATTGGCTGCCGGTGCTGTCAGCTGAGATTGGCCCGCCGGCAGCCGCCTGTGATTGGCCGTGACGTTTAGCCGCAGAGAAAGTATTTTCATTAGTCAAATGTGAGTCATTGGCCATTGGCTCGTCATGTGGAGCCCGGGCTTGGTGTGTGCTGCATTCTTCTCATGATTGTATGTGTGTACAGCTCCATATAGATCACACCAGTCACCTTTCCTCTTATTACTTCATCACTCACACATATTACCTGCACTGCCACTCCCTGATAGATTGCAAGCTCTCAGGGCCCGGGCCCTCCTCTATTAAACTGTACAGTAAGACGATATACACGCTTATGCTGGCCACAGACCTTACAAAAGTCGCAAAAGTCTTGCGATGGTTGTAAGGTAATTAAGGTACTTAAAAAAAACGTACGATCTGCCCATCTTGGACAAGCAGATTGTACTTGCGATAATCGCAATGCTGAACGGGCAGTGTGCGCTTGCGCACACCGGCACGTGCGGCATTCATCTTACGAACATGCCACACACCCGCCAACAATCGTACGATTCTCGGCGGGTTTTCGAACATGTTCCTTAGATAAAAGTCGTGCGACTGTACGGTAGAAACGGTCGCACGCCTTGCACACACCTTGCGATAATCGTACGATCGCAGGATTTCCCGCGATTATCGTACTATTATCGCAAGGTGTGTGGGCACCTCTAGATTCCTCTTATTCAGCACTGGGACTGAGTTAGATAAATCAGTTGATTCCCCATCCACTGAGGGGCTAAACAGAAGAAATCAACTGATTGCCCATCTCCAATGGCGCTATACTGAAGAAATCAACTGATTGCCCATCCCCAATGGCGCTATACTGAAGAAATCAACTGATTACCCATCCCCAATGGCTCTAAACTGAAGAAATCATTCGATTACACATCCTCAATGGGGCTAAACAGAAGAAATCAATTGATTACCCCATCTCCCATGGGGCTATACAGAAGAAATCAATCAATTACCCACCCCCCATGGGCTAAACAAGGGAAATCAATTGATCACCCATCCCCCTTGGGGCTCAAAAGAAGAAATCAATCTATTACCCATCCCCAATGGGGTTAAACAGAAGAAATCAATCGATTACCCCATCCCCCATGGGCTAAACAAGGGAAATCAATCGATAACCCATCCCCATGGGGCTGAACAAGGGAAATCAGTCGATTACTCCAGCCCTATGGGGCTGAACAAGGGAAATCTGTTGATTACTCCAGCCCTCTGGGGCTGAACAACGGAAATCAGTTGATTACCCATCCCCCATGGGGCTAAACAGAAGAAATCAATCGATTACCCCATCCCCCATGGGGCTGAACAAGGGAATCAGTGGATTACCCATCCCCCATGAAGCTGAACAAGGGAAATCAGTTGATTACTCCACCCCCCATGGGGCTAAACAAAGGAAATCAGTTGATGACCCATCCCCCATGAGGCTGAACAAGGGAATCAGTGGATTACCCATCCCCAAGGGGCTGAACAAGCAAAATCAGTTGATGACCCACCCCCCATGAGGCTGAACAAGGGGAATCAGTTGATGACCCATCCCCCATGAGGCTGAACAAGGGAATCAGTGGATTACCCATCCCCAAGGGGCTGAACAAGCAAAATCAGTTGATGACCCACCCCCCATGAGGCTGAACAAGGGGAATCAGTTGATGACCCATCCCCCATGAGGCTGAACAAGGGGAATCAGTCAATTACCCATCCCCATGGGACTGAACAAGCAAAATCAGTCGATTACCCATCCCCCATGGTGCTGAACAAGGGAAATCAGTCGATTACTCCATCCCCATGGGGCTGAACAAGCAAAATCAGTCAATTACCCATCCGCATGGGGCTGAACAAGGAAAATCAGTGGATTACCCATCCCCAAGGGGCTGAACAAGCAAAATCAGTTGATTACCCATCCGCATGGGGCTGAACAAGGAACATCAGTCGGTTACCCATCCCCGTGGGGCTGAACAAGGGAAATCAGTTGATTACTCCATCCCCATGGGGCTTAACAAGGGAAATCAGTCGATTGCCCATCCCCGTGGGGCTGAAAGAGGGAAATCACTTGATTAATCCATCCCCATGGGGCTGAACAAGGGAAATCAGTTGATTCTCCCATCATGCCTCTTGGAGTCATGCCTGTCAGTCTTGCAATGCCTTATGGGACTTGTAGTTCCACAAGAGGTGGAGGGCCTGAGTTGCCCACTCCTGGCCTAGAGATACACTCTAATGCACATTCACATGCCTTACTGTGCATAGTTACACATTGTAATGTGTGTTAGAAGGTGCGCTGACATTTGTCTTGACGCCTTTCCCTTCATTTATGGTATGTATAACCCCAATATTTTTTTTTTACTTTTGCTTAGAGTGGGGAAGGGTTAATACCCCTGTCAGGTTTTTATTCTTTTTTTGCCTGACTACCATTGGGGAAATTCCTCCCAGAGATGCAACAGGAAGTTAAAGGAAATCTACCAAATTGAGGGGATTTTCCTCCTTTGACTGTTGTCCCAGGAACAGGGGTCCCCATTGGAAGATTTCCCCTCACCTCTAGTTCTGTGGACAACTCTAACATTTTGGATTTTCCCTCAAATTCTTTTTTTCGTGTCACCAATACAAACAGAGTGGTGAACCTCTGCAATGGGCAGCCAAACAGAATAAAAAAAACAGACAGTGTAATCCTAAAACTAAAAAAAAGAAAAAGAAAAGTGTGCATAGCCCAGGAGTGGGCGAACTCCAGCCATTCAGCTGTGGCTAAAATACAAGTCCCATCATGCCTCTGTCTCTGGGAGTCATGCCTGCAGCTGTGAGAATCTTGCAATACCTCATGGGATTTGTAGCTCCACCACAGCTGGATGGCTGGAGTTGCCTGTCCCTGGCCTGGAGATACACTCTAATGCACACTCACATGCCTTACTGTGCGTTACAAGGTGTGCTGACATTCGTCTTGATGCCTTTCCATTGAGATTGCACAGCATGCTCCTATTATAGGGCTGGCTCCACACTTTTGTGCTCCAGTAACGTGCAGCTTTATGCACATTGCACAGCACATTACCGTAACACACAGTACTACGGGCTCCTGGTGGTGTCATAAATTTATAATTGTGTCCTAATCCACACACACAAAAGCTGCTAATGCACTAGAGGCCAAAAAGCTGGTTTTAAGTGAAGTAGCTGCTGGAAACATGTCCAGTCGTGTACATTACCTGTGGCTTCAGATGTAGCGATGCTCCATGGCCTAGTACAGGGGTAGGCAACATCAGCACTCCAGCTGTGGTGAAACTTCAAATACCATCATGCCGCAGCCTCTGAGAGTCATGCCTGTGGCTTTCAGAGTCTTGCAATGTCTCATGGGACTTGTAGTTCCCAACAGCTGGAGTCCCAAGGTTGCCTATTCCTGGCCTAGTGCATCGGCTAAAGATACACACAGATATATGATTGTCACCATCTGAGCTGATTACGGCCCAGGTTAGGCAACAGGCTCATTGTGGGCCACATGGTGGCCTAGTGACAAGCCTTGGAGCTGTGTGATGCTGGTTTCAGTTTCCAGCAGGGATACTGCCTCCATGACAGTTGCATCTTTATAGTTTTTGTGGGCTTCCTTAGCGATTGCCAAAATGTTTAGTTTTGTATAGAGTAGGTAAGTATTAGAACCCATGTCAAGTTGTTATTGCTGTTTATGTTCACATGTACACCCATCATTAGAGGTAATTTACTTTTACATAGCAAATGTCCCAAAAAATATTTTTGCGTGAGTTCAGATGTAAATATGACTTACCAGTTGAATGTGACATATTGTTTATTTTTCAGTATTTATATAGCGCCAACAATTTACATACTGCACATTCACATTAGTCCCTGCCCTCAAGGAGCTTACAATCTAAGGTCCCTCTCTCACATACAAGGGCCAATTTATTAACCTTCCAGCGTGTCTTTGGAGTACCCGGAGGAAATCCATACAAGCACAGAGAGAACATGCAAACTCCTTACTGATAGTGACTTGGCAGGGAATCGCACCTGGGATCCCAGTGCTGCAAGGCAGATGCGCTTACCACTAAGCCACTATGCTTCATTTGGTAAATGATCAAAAGAAACTAAGGATGCACCGATACCAAGTACAGTACTCGGTACAAGTACAGATACTTTTCCAGCTCCACGATTAGGCTAGAGAAAAAAATCAAAAGTTAGGAGGCAGCTGTCATTTGTAAGGACCACACGGAGCTCCTGGGATTTGGGACATTGTTTTAATATATGATTTTGTTTTTATAAATATAAATAAAGGGATGCACAGATATCAGTTTTGCGAGTACAAGTACTGATTCTGGTCCAAGTCCTCACAGATACAAGTACTGATACATTTTTGTTTAGTGTCATGTGACCGTTTTTCTAAAACAATACGGACTAATGATTTCAGGACAGTGGTGGAGCGCCAGAGCCAGGTCCTAGCTGCAACCCTGGTAGTTCTCATGAAAATGGCAAGTATCGTCATTGGTACTCGAAAAGTATCGGTGCATCACTAAAAGAAACCCATTGCACACCTGACCGGATAATCCAAGTATCGGGTGGGTGCCAAGCGACCACGGATGCCTCCGCAAATCAGCATAAATATGAAGAAGTCACTCGCACTCCAGCTCAAGTTCAGTCAATATTTTATTGACCTCTGTGGTGTCAAAACATGGCGACGTTTCGGAGGCGTTTGGTCCCTTCATCATCATCTTTGTTTGCCTGATAAAGGGACCAAACGGGTTCCGAAACGTCGCCATGTTGTGACACCACAGAGGTCAATAAAATATTGACTGAACTTGAGCTGGAGTTCGGGTGACTTCTTCGTATTTATACTGATTTGGTAAATGGACACACACACGTACACACTCTGCCCTTTGCTCTCACTTGTGTTTCCTAATGTGTTATTATACACACTGCATACATGAGAATATATGACACATGGAAATATGCGCTTTGAAACATAATAATAAGATGTTTTGTTTGAACATTTTAGGAGGAGCTGGGTTTGGCTTTGAAAAAAGAAAATCTATAAAATCAAATCTGTTACTGTAAATAGCAAGTTGTGTTTTTATAGGCGAGGTATTCCCGTACATCAATAAAACGTCCCGTGACTCATCACATGTACAAAGTACAGTATTTACAATGGATCTTCAAATTCTTTCAGATTATAAACTTTTATGGATGTGTAATGTGACGGCCCACACAGCAGTTCTCAGCACAACATCAGACACTGTAGCCCACCGGAGCATACTAATAGGCATTTTAGGTGGTTTGATAATGCTTTGTACTGAGGTCTGCATCTGCTCCTTCTGTCCATGTGGATTTGAAAGAAAACTGGTTGTAAATCTATTTAATCTCTTTTTAGAATGTACACATTAAAGTGATATTAAAGCCAAATGCTGATTAAATCACTTACAATGGATGCTGCTCCTGGATGTTTAAAAGGTTTAGTTTCCTGCAGAATCAGTTGGCCCCCTGAGCAG